AGCTACAGCCTCCCCCACCTCCCCCACAACTCTCCGCATTTCATCTTCCTCGTTTCTGTTTTGAACATTAAAAAAATATTCCAGAGCAGTCTTTTAGGCACATGATAGAAATCTGTCTTGTCCCGTCGTCTGCATAAAGAAGAAAGAAGAAAAGGAAGCTAATTCTGATTGACTGACAACCTGCTCAGTCGGCTGTTTTGATTTAATTTAATTAAAATCAAACACTGGAGTGGCTCTGAAGAGCAGGAGGAGACGAGGATGAGCGGATGAGAGGATTCCTTCAGGGTCAGAGTAGAAATAAAGATAAATAGTTTTTTTGTTCTATTTTATTTTTTTCAAGTTACAGACGGAATCATAAAAATCCAGGTCCGACCTGAACAGTAGGAGTTTGTTCATTAAAGCACTTTATGCAGTACATGTAAACAGAGTACCAAGTATGAAGGAGGTCAAAGGGCAGCACCAGGAACCATTTGTTGAACTTTGGGTTTGGATATGACATTACATTAAGGTATTTAATGTATTTAGATCCTGTAAAATATATTTCAGTAGGAATCTTTGATGAGTCAGGTATTGGAGCTAATCTTGGGCTAACCTTTAGCCATACCGTGTGCTGTTGTTGAGATATTTTTGGACTATTTCTGTTGTTGTTGTTGTTGTTGTTGTTTTGACCAATTCTCACTAATTAACTCATTATTTCAGGTAGATGTGAGAAAAAAAACTTTGTTTAATTTACTGCAGTTGTTGAAACGTTGTCAACTTTAGTCAAGTTTTTTAGAAGCTAGACTTCCACATGTCATGTGACCTACATTCTTCTATTTTTTTCTGGTTTGATTCCCACAGTTGCTGCACTGACATGATGTTTAACGAAGAAAGAATGCTGAAGGTCTCGAAGTCTGTCGTTCAGCAGCTCAAACTTTTTCTTTTTCATAGAAAATCACCAGGCTGACACTGAAAGAACGGCTGTTAATACAGAGAATTTTTCTCTCTTTCCAGCCGTCGCTGTGAACGTTGTTGTAAAAACAGGCAGGAGTTTTAATGTGACAGCTCCTCCAAAGTCCAATTTCACCACGTTGATGTCTGTTGTTGTCTGAGAAAACACTTCGTCAACTTCGCCTTAACACTTTCACTGCCAGCTGTGATGCTGAACATGACATGGCCCACTTGTAGCCTTCCAACATGTCCATATCTGATTAGGATCTGGGCCGTGTTCACTCCTCCTCACACCTGAGTCTGAGTGTTTTTATTTCTTTCTGTCACTCAGCCTGAATATGTCTGCCTTCACTGAAGACTGAGATCAAAGACACTCACTACAAAGTGAAAGTCAATTAAACCTACAGTCTAATCAGTTAAATATTTTAATAATTCAAAAATGAACACACATACGTATTTTATAGCGTCAGCTCTTTGTCTGCCGGCTCTTTCATCATCAAGTTAAAAGATTAAAAACTTTATGTTGTCACATGTTCATTTGTGACACTTGTTATGAAAAATAATAATATCACGGAACGCGTCTAAACAATGTTATAACATAATAAATATACAAAAAAAGTCTAAAAGGGAAATATTTTTTTAAAGATAATCCAATCACATAAAGATGTTTTTGGAATTTTTTAACAGATAAAAATCATGAATTATATCAAAATATGGTCTACGTTCGTTTACTGAACATTTTGAGATATTCTAGCGATATGTAGAAAATCTAAAATCTTTATTGAAGACGAGACATTTCCTGAAACGCCTCAGTTTGTCAGTCTCAGGAAAAATAACACCTCAGTTTATCTGTTCACAGTGACGTGCAGGTAAAGCTTGCTGTTAGTGACCGTTTCACACTGAGGTCGCACATTTTTAGTAGTAAAACTATAAATAAGCCTGTGGCAAAACAGTTGAGTCACAGAAGATATTTGTGTTTTTTTTTTTTTTTCTCAAGGATGACTAAACAGAGGAAACAAACTCTGGTGGACAGCCTGGTCTCACTGGAAGGGTTAGTTATTTTTTCTTTATGTAAATAAACACAGAGTAAATGCTAAACTAGCCCAGATTTTGAGCTTTTCTTTTTTTTTTTTTTAGAAGGAAACGTTGGACTACAAACAGTTTAAAGAACTCATTGAGGCACAGAGTTAGATAAAAAAGCAAATACCAGAACAGCAAAACAATTTACTTAGCTCTAGCTCCAGACGGAGCCAGGAGTAATGGAAAAGCTAAATATTGCTAATGAAGAGCGCCTAATGAACTATTAGTGACCAACGTGCATCCAATCTAATCTCAAGTCCAACAACATTTGGATTAAAAAACAAAATCTTTAGAACACGTGGTATTTTGTGCGTACAAGGATGTTACTGTCACTGCCACTAGGGGTGCTAACAGCACAGTTCTGTAGATTTTTAAGCCATTACTGAGCAAAGGACAACAGGTTGTTGTTGTTATTGTTTTTGTTTTTTGGGTTTTTTTGTTTTGGAACTGCACTGCTACTTTACGTTATATACACAGTAAATACAATTGGAAATATACAGTTTTTTTGTTTTTTAAAAAATGGGCAAAGTTGACTGTAGGTGTCAAAAGAGTGAAAATATATATTTTCAGTTAAATCCACACAACACTGCAAGTGTCGCCCACATACTGTCAGGGATTCTTGCTGGTGTTGTGAACAATTTAAACCCACTTGTGTTTGTAAAGCTAAAAATCTGTGACTAACAGGACCGTCTGCAGTTTATTGTATATTCTACGGAGGTCGTCTTGTGTTTGACCTTGTTGATCTGCCTCAAAGACGCTCATGTTTGTTTGAGATTTATTTCTACAAGAAAGGATGTCTGAAGTGTTTTTTTTTTACTCTTGGCGTTTCAGCACCATGGAGAGAGGCGCAGCTCAGCATAAGGGTTGAGAATTTAAGCACCGCGGACAGAGGTTAAAACGAAATACTAGCTCAAAAGTGTCAGCACCATGGACAGAGGAAGTTGAGACACCCAGCCTGGATTTCAGGACCATGGGCAGAGACAGCTAAAGAACGCTTTTAGCGTTCCTTTCTTTCAGTACCGCGGACAGCTCCAGCTACTGGATGACAAACGCAGCAGTTTTTTGCCTGCCAAAAATACTTCAAATCACAGTTTAGAAGCAGCAAAGAGCTTTAGAGAAAAGTAACCTGGAGATAAGGGATGTGAAGGCAGGGTTAGGATGTAAATGATCTCTTTGAAGAGTTACTCCTCGGTGTGTGCGATCCTATCTTACTCTCTTTGAAGGTTCGCAAAACCTCAGCTCCATCAAAGACAACTCTCTGGGGGACAAAAGCCTTTGCCCCCCAAACAACAAGTGAGCCGAGCTTTTTCTACTGTACTACATTCATTTTTGCAAAAGAGAGCAAAACTTGACAGTTTGCAACCGGACACAAAATTTCCACAGCCTTATCAGTTCAGATAACATTTCAAATCACAGAGTTTAAAGATAGGGTTGACAAAAATATTGGGGACTTTAAGAGAGAACAGATGTTTCCCTGTTGAATGTAGACCCACACGTCCAGGCCCACGTTCTGCTTATTGAATGTGCAATATGGACAAAAGGGCAAGAAAGATGTGGCCTGTTGTCCGGCCACCATGCTGCTCCTCATATTTAAATATTTTACACTAGTGTGTTAGGTTTAAAAACAACATATGTTTAAGTCTTGTATCTCTCTCTTCTTTAACCTCCTGTTGATGTTAAAAGGTACATAACTTTAATGAGGGCAAGTTTTACCAGAAAAAAAAAAAAAATAGAGTTAACTTCCCTTGCTGTTGACGAGCCTTCTCCGAAAGCAAAAATGTGGAAATTACCCAGCAGGCATCCTGAGGCCATGGTGAAGCACTGAATCAGATTAAAAAAAAAAAATCATGCAAACTCTCAGTGCAAATAATTAAAAGACTGGAAGTGAATACTGAACAGTTTTTGTGTTAATGGTCTGCCTTGGAGTCAGCCTCATAATTAACCTCATCATTAGTGACTTGTTAGAGTAAAAAGAACTGGAAGTATCAATTCCACACTTTTGTGGATGATTTCAAAATTATCAGAAAAGGTCAGAAAAACAAGTTTTTATTTTCATGTTTTTTTCTCATTACGTGGCAAATAGAAAATTTGTCTTCATCGGCATTTTTTCTCATTACGTGGCAAATAGAAATTCTCATGTGTCTTCATCGGCAAATATAAAAACCAGGGAATAAACATGAGTTTGAGTTCCCCAGGGGAAACGAACTCCACACTGAAAGACCGGGAATCAAACTGGTCACCTCCCTGTACTGACGGACAGGAGCGCTAACCGTGTCTTCCACCATGTGGCCGAAGGATGACTCTGTGACTCTGTGACCACCTTCACCCTTCAGTGTCACATGGTGTAGGTTTGAGTCCCGTGATCTTTGAGCTTTAGAGAATAACCTGACATGTGTAGACGACAGCATTAAAGGCTCATTAACGCCACCATGGGTTTGAACATTACAACTACATCAAAAGAAAATGAAGTCAGTCTCAGTCTGTCTTTACTGCACAGAGAAGCCGTGCCTTCATTATAAATATATATATATTTTATATCAACCTGCGCGCTGAATCTTTCTGATCTAGAAACGGGTCACACACTTTCATGAACTCCCTCAACTCAACTGAACTAAATTAGATTTTTAGGTTTGAGTCCTTAGTGTTTAAATCCTGGTCCTGTCACAGTTCTACTATATTGCTCGCCCCATACGCACCAATGAATCATTGGGGTTTTGGTGACCCACATGGGCCACACAGCAGAAGAGTGGTTTTGTTCTGCCCTTAAAGCAAAGAATCAGTTCCATTCCCAGTGGTAAGAACTGGTACTGCTGTATGGAGGCTCCATGCGCTCCTGTTGTGTGTGTTGTAGCCCAGAGGAACTGGTAACAATAAGTAGCCCACACAGTCCCACCCCAAGTTTGTAGCCAAAATAAACCCATGTGGGAGCCACACATGCAGCCTGAGTGTGAGCGCTCTACCATGACAACAATGTGAAAACCCAGTCCTACCAGAGTTCCTCAGCTTCCGGTTCCTGAAGACAGAGATGATGACCAGCAGGTTCCCCAGCACGTCCACCACCGTGGTGAAGATCAGGACACTGGCCAGGATGGCTATGACCCAGGCGGGGCGGGTGCTGCCCTCGGCGGCCAGTGTGCGCTCCAGCTGCCCCAGCTGCGGCTCCGTCTGGTTCCTGATGAGGCTCAGCGTGTCCGGCATCCCTGGCCGCGCGCTACCGGGCACCAGCCCCGGGTGCCGACTCGTACCTTATGTCCCGCAGATGCCGCCGTGCCCGGCGCGTCCAGTGGACGGAATCATGGAGCGCACTTGGATGAGTTCCTGAGCGCACGGAGAAAACAGAGACGTGGAGTGGAGCTCACGTGTGACCTACATCAAGTTCCACTCGTGAGTTTGTTCATCTGTGTCAACAAGTCATCCATCCGTGTGCCAAAACAAGAGAGGAGGAAAGCAGACCTCCTCCACCTCCCCCCACCTGCTCCTCTTTTCCTTCCGTTCCTCGAATTTGGCTGAATGGAGGAGTTGATCTAAGCTGAAGAAAATACGAGAAACACACGCGGGCACTCTTCATCCTCATCACGGGCACTCTTCATCCTCATCACGGGCACTCTTCATCCTCATCTCCTGGTGTCAGGGTGGGCATCAGCGACTCCTGTCACTCCGCACACCCCCACGGAGAAGGGAGTTAAAGCAGCAGGATATTCCTTTATATACGGTGTCCAGTCACAGCGCCGCCTCCTGATTCATTTCTCAGGTGGTAACAGAAGGAGCGCAGGAACAAATTGACCAATTTCTCTAATGTCCTTGGTTCGCGCTGACCCCGCTGCGCAACTGTAGCTTTGAGCAGCGATTTCACAGCGGAGCGACTCAGTCAGAGGCGCACGGGGGTGG